TTTCTTTCTTTCTTTCTTTCTTTCTTTCTTTCTTTCTTTCTTTCTTTTTTTTGGGCTGTTTATGTTTTCTTCTTCTGCCCACAGTGGCACTTTCTACACTCTTGGCTGAGGGATATAGATGAATAAATGCACGTTTCATTGAAGTTTCCTTTGTGAAGGCAGAGAGGAGGAAAAGAGAGATGCAAAGATTTCCTTTCCTATGGCGTAAAGTGCGAGAACTTTCCATCCTGCTAAAATGAGTGCAGGCTCTGGAGAAGAGAGAACAGAGGGAGTGAGGAACTCCAGGGCATCTGGGTGGGGACAGGGAGTGGCACCTGGTGTCACCTGTGGAGTGAGGACACCCCTGGTATGGGGGGAGCCGCCATTTCTGTCTCAGCACAGTTAGACATTGTATGGCAGCTCCTCGACTGAGTAGCGGTGGGGGAAATGTTCCCGCGGACACACTGGGCTACTCAAAAGCCCAGAACACTGCTTTGTTTAACTATGTTGATACTCTAAGCCGTTCTGGAAGGGCATTTAAAACTGGGACCCAGAGAAGGCAGCCTCTAAACCCATTCGCTTTCCTTTCATTGGCTCTGGGGCACCCAGGCATTTCACACCACTCCTGTAGGCAGAGGCCTATCTCAAACGGTGTGAGGCAGGCCCTCCCTTCTTCACCCAGCACTGACCTCGGTCATCTGTTGCCAAGAGTGCAAGGTGTAGCCACGTCTCCTCTAGGTCTACAGGAGGAAAGCTGAGGAGGTATAGGCCACAGAGCACAAGAAACCGCTCAGGTGAGCAGCAGAGAGGGCAAGGCACCAGGAGGCTAGGGTTGAGCAGCAAGCCACCAGCAGACCAAACAGCCCTTCCCTTAACTGCCTGATGGCCTGAGAGGCGGCTGGGGGCTCAAATTAAATCAGGGCCTCTTAAGTCAAAGGGCACACATCTGGGTAGATTTGTCTCCAGCACAGCTGGGACTACCCTGCGAGTCAGCGGGCCTAGGAAATGAACAGATGGCAAGGAAGCTGTTCACTGTGGCGAGCAGAAAGGTCAGTAGGGCTCCCAGTGTGTGACGCTGGCCACACGAGGACCACAGGACAGGGCTAGTCATCAGGTTGTTGGCTGTTGCGCTGACCACGCCCATTGTCATCGGGGGACGGGCCTGTTCAGTGAGCCGAGCAGAAGGCTGCGGTGATTGGTAGTGCCTTCCTTCTGTATTGGCTAAGTCAGTTTGCACAAAGATGACGGGCTTATATTTTTCAGCCCATTATGTCGATAACAATGCAGTCACAATCATCGGGTTATCATTTTCCCCCAAGAAACTTACATAATCAAGAGGTAAATTAAACGTCCAGATCAGTACTTTTTCCTACTTTCTCATCTTATTCCCTTAGAGCAGTCAACGTTGATCAGACCCAGAGCACGCTGGGAGTGCCGTTAGAAGGCAGGTGTCACTGCGGAGTGACAGGGACAGGCTTCATTCAAGACCCTCTATCTTCATGTCAATCTAAGACAAGTGTTTCTTGGAGGTGGAAACGCAGGCAGAAGTGAGGACGGAAACTGCTTCTTACGGCATGAGGCCTCCTTCCTTAGGGCTGCAGTAAGACACTGAAATACTGTGAACTCATCAGTCTACCTGGCACCTACTATGGCATCCAGACTCGATTCTGAGCTGGCTATTGTTAATAACACAAAAGTGATTAAGGCTGAGGTATGCCTGGTCTTTGGTGATGGGACTGTCAGGACGGAATAGGTCTGGGGTAGCGTTGGCAAAATGCAAAAATTAAACACAAGAAAGTGCTTGAGACCAGAAAAGCAAAGTCCCCGGGAAGGACTCAAGCATGCTTCGAGGCTTTTTTTTTTTTTGGTTTAAAAAAATTCAAATTTATCAAAAAAAAAAAAAAAAAAAAAAGGGAACATATTCAGGCTTTCCAGGTAGGTAGTTTTATGCCTTTCTTGAGCAAAGGTTTCCATTTTCCAGTTCCGACACTGCTAGCGGAAACTGAAAAACAATACGGCAGAAATGGGCATCGTCGAGACTCCCGTTTGCCTAAGTGATTGAACAACATCCTCTTTAGTGGTTCACGACACGGCGACAGCTGACTAGTCTTAAAGTGCTTCTCAGGACATCCACCTCTCCGTCATTCGAGTTTGGGTCGCACACTGTTGTCCACCACTTCTCCCATCTTCTCGGCTATAAGTCCCATGTTTTTGGTCAGGTCTTTGAGGTGGCTCTCATGAAGCAGCTTTTGTGTGAGGTATTTCTCCCTCTTGATCTTGCTCTTCGTGATTTTCGACACATCGGGAATTGCATACGAAATGAAAAACTTCACGGAGTAGATGATGTGCTGTGGAAGAGAGGGAAGACAGCGTTAGAGGGGGCCGCAGAGCTCCTCAAGACTGTCATCACGGCAGTGTGTCGGGACAGGACAGATAGTCTCAAAGCAACAGCATGTAACGAATGACCGGTCAGCGTTCATACAGCCTGTGTTTTTTGGTACGTGGAGAGGACTGTATCCTAGCGTGTGCATCCTCATCCACATATATACCACTTATAAAGGTGAAGGCCAGTGAATTCCTTGTCATCCAGAGCATGGGAGACTGAGTCTGAGGCCAGTCTAACCTATGTAATAAAAATAATAATAAAATGACTGCCTCCAAATCCTCTGTAAATTACAAAGTCCAGCATTAAAAAGGCTGTTGCATTTTGTGTACTTTTCCCTGTTCCTTTCCCAAAGGTCAATATATCCTATATTTGTAAGTAAATTTACTATAAAAAATACCAAAATATATATGTATTCACTATTAATGTATTTCATCTTACTTGATTTGAGCTTTATATAGTAGTTTAAGAATCTTTTTATATGTTTTCCATGTATGTATGTATATGTGTCTGTGTACCATGTTTGCACAGTGCCTGTGGAGAACAGAAGGGGACATCCAAGCACCTGGAACTGGAGTTACAGATGGTTCTGAGTTACTGGTTGCTGGGAACTGTTTCTGGGTCCTCTGCAAAACTGATGAACCATCTCTCCAGCCCTTCTACATATCCTCTGCAAAACTGATGAACCATCTCTCCAGCCCTTCTACATAGGCTTCAGAAAAATGATGTAGGTCTTCTTTTTATGTGTTGCTTTCATTGGTTAAATAAAGAGACTGCCTTGGCCTTTTGATAGGACAGCAGCTTAGATAGGCGGAGTAGACCGAACAGAATACTGGGAAGAAGGCAGAGTCAGGCAGACGCCATGGCTCTTCTTTCCGAGATGGACACTGGTTAGACTCATGCTGATAAGCCACAGTCAAGAGGCGATACAGATTATTAGAAATGGGTTGAATCAATATGTGAGAGTTAGCCAATAAGAGGCTAGAACTAATGGGCCAGGCAGTGTTTAAATGAATACAATTTGTGTGTTGTTATTTCGGGGTATAAGCTAGCCAGGTGGCTGGGAGCTGGGCAATGGGAAGCAGCCTGTCGCTCCTTTTACAACAGAAAAAAATTCAAAACTAGTTTCTAAAATTCTTCACTGGCGTTTTTATAGCCAGCTCATTTACTTCCACTGGTGGATAATGCTCCCGGTGAGTAAGCCCAAACGTATTTGTTCCCTATGTAGGCATTGGGCTGCTTTCCAGTTCTCGTATTAACAGTGCCCTTGTGAATATGTAGCTCCTTGAACCTTCTCTGTAAGTTTAAGAGCCCGAAGCTAGAGGGGACGCTGCTGAGAAACTTGGACACATGAAAGGCCAGGTTTATGAAGTAACAGACCGCTTTCCCCAGAAATTGTGCTGGCTCAGCAGGCACCCGCACCCGGTGCTTTCCCGAGCATTTGCACTGGTTTGGCTAGTACCACCAGCAGGCAGTTTCAGCCATGCTTCTTCTTGTCAGCGTTGGTGGCATCTCCCCACTTTTTTTTTTTTTTAAAAAAAACTTGCTAATTTTCTGATTTGCAAGTGAACCATGACTGGTCTTGCTTTGTATTTCTGTGACTGCTAATGAAGTTAAACTTCTTGTGTTAGTCTCCAATTCTAAAAAGTCCTTTTGGTTGTGTATTTTTGGTGCACAAAGGGGATAAAGATGAGTTGCCATAAAAACACTTAAAAATGGATTAAGATAAGTTTCTATAAAAATACATTAAAAAATGGATTGTGCCTAGAAGTGTCAAGAAGTGCTTAGAGCCTTGGGAGAACCTGGACCAGTGCAGGCCCCCTGAGTGTGACAGGACGCTGAACACATCACAGAGACACTATGCTGAGCAGTTTGCACATAAATCACTCGGCAAAGGGTTTAAGGACCAAGGGAATATGCAGGTATCAGGAGGGCAGACGTCAGGGCAGGGGAAGCTTCCTGGAATGGCAAAGCTGGAAGGAGGAGCGATAGTGAGAACCACAGACATAACAGGATGGTGTGAGACCTTGGACGGCACCACAGGGTCTCTGACTTTTGCTCTGAGGTCAGAGCACAGTGGTCTCCAGGTAGAGATTGGTTCCCAGCCAGGCAAGAAATGATGGTGCCTCTGGCCTGGTAGATCTTGGTGTCCATACAGTTTCTCCAAAGGCCTATGTTGAAGGTTGGCTCCCAGCCTGCAATTTGGTTGAGGGGATGGGATTTGGCAATAGTGTGGGAGAATTGTCTGTATTCTGTCAATCATGTATTTTAATAAAATGCTGATTGGCCAGGCAGGAAGTATAGATGGGTCAACCAGACAGGAAGTAGAGGCGGGACAATGAGAATAGGATAAGGCTAGGGAGGAGGAAACTCCCTCTGCCATTCCTGCGCAGACCACCGAAGAGGCAACAACATGTGAGCTGACAGCTGAAAGAGGTACCAAGCCATATGGCTAACATAGATAATGATAATGGATTAATATAAGTTACAAGGACTAACAAGTAGCCTGACCTAATGGGCCAATCAGCTTTATAACTTATAGAGATCTCTGTGTGATTGATTTTCTCTGGGACTTGCCAGCTGTGGGGTACCAGGCGGGAACAGATACCACAACAAGCTGGCCCCTCATGCTACATGGCAGGAGGAGGTTAGGTTATTGTTCTGGGGACACCGGGACTCTACCCCTACTTATTGGCTGCCATGAGGGGAGTGGCTTCCTTTCTATAGCCTTCCCCTGGTTTGGGGTGCCACCTCAGCAGAGGCCCAAAGGAAGAAAATAACAGCCGGAGTAAACCTGCTAGTATCGCTACAGCATCACGAAGCTAGCCAACACATGGTGAAAGCAGGCAAGGCTCCAAGCAGAGGTCAATGGCCTACTGTTGAGGAGAAAGCCAACAGGCTTGGATGCTGGGTGAGAGAAAAGGAAAAGGGCACGAAGGACTCAAAGAACACTGTCCGAGCATCTGGCCAGATGAAGACGTTACAGCGCAGAGGAGTAGACTGTGTTTGGGGCTGAGGGACAGTCTGGGCTTGACTAGCGTGGGTATGAGAGCTCATGGGAGTAAGGCAGCTGTCTGGAGGGAACTAGGCAGACAGGTTTGGTGGCGCTGGGCTCTGGGAGTCGAGGAGAGAAGCTTGTGTTTCTCACCCTTGAGGCACGATGGCAGGCTATTTGGGATTCTCCTGCGAGTGTGATGTAGCCACTGATACAGACTTACCCTAGTGCCATGTTCAGTGTATCCCACAGCTTTTGGCACACTTGTTTCCACTATCATTTGCTTAGAAGTCAAAAGAAAAATCCCTTCTTAATTCATTTGCTGGTTTGTTGGTTGTCTGCGAATATGTCATTTAATTTCTGTGCACATGTGTACTTTCCCGGATTTTTCTGACTAATTTCTCATTTAATTGCACTGTCCTCGGGAAAGCCACTTGATAAGATTTTAATTTTTAAAAACGTGCTGAGACTTGTTGTGCGGCTTCCCGGGTGACATGCCCTTGGGGATGCTGCTCTGGAGAGGAGCAGAATGCATGCGTCACCCCGGGCGCAGTGCAGTGTTCTGTGCGTGTCGGCCAGGCCCACTTGGTCCAGGGTGTGACCTAACTGTGCAGCTTGTCACTTTTTCGCAGAGATGGCTGAAGGTGTGGGCTGATGCGCGTCTGTCTTTGACTGACAGCCGCTTTTCCCTTTGAGCACACAGATCTTTTTTATGCCAGAAGATACACTATTGTGGATGCATTGTCTGGCGTTGTTACTTCCTTTGGCTGAACTGATCCCGTTATCATTCTCAATTTTTCTGCTTTTTTTTTTTTTCTTTTTTAAGTGGTTCCTGAAGCTGAACGGAGATGCTTCATGGAAGAGTGAGAGGTCGGCTGTCCTGTGCTCACTGCTGGGTAACATGGGCGGAGATGCTGCTAAAGGAATTCACCACCAGACAGACCGGGAGATGGCCACTACAGCCAGAGCAGAGGCCAATGACTTAGGCAGCGAAGGAACGGCTAGAGCTGAGGGGGGGAAGGGAGGAGAGAAAGGAGTGTGGAAAGCAAACACTGCCATGCCTTTGGGGACCCTGACCTCACTCAGGGAAGAGCCGTAGAGTGGAGTTGGGGAGCGCAATAGGGAGTGGCAGCCAGGTGTGATGGAAGGGGCCCAACAGAGGAAGGGCAAGACTCATCTTCTCCAAATTCATAGGGAGCGGCAGCCAGGTGTGATGGAAGGGGCCCAACAGAGGAAGGGCAAGACTCATCTTCTCCAAATTCATCTCTGTAGAGGTTGCTAACATTCACAGGCAGTGGGTTTCACTTCTGGTTAAAGCCAATATGGCGTGATGCTGTCTTTTAAAAATATCCTGTAGGTTCACTATACATATTCTACAAGGATTTCTTGTAGAATTTCTTGTAGAAATTTCTGATGAGAAGGACTTTAGTGTTCCTTTCTTTTCTCTTTAGAGTTTTGAAATTTTTTTTTTGTTTTGTTTTGCTTTGTTTTGTTTGAGACAGTGTCTTACAGTGTAGCTCTGGCTGGCCTGGTACTCGCAGGGGTGAGGCACCTCTGCCTCCCCAGGACTGGTATAAAAACATGCCGCTGTGTCCAGCAGTTTCCCCTCTGTGCCTACGCTTGTCTGTGTCTAGGATCTAGGCCAGGGATTCTCAACCTGTAGGTTGCGACCATCGGAAAACACACATCCCCGATGGTCTCATTATTTTCATTGCTACGTCATAACTGTAATTTTGCTCATGAACTGTGTCTCAGTTCCTAAGACCATCATAAAACACGTATTTCCAATGGTCAGGACACACACCTTAAGAACTTGTCTTCTAGGCTATTCTAGCCTCCCAGAAGTCAAGGAACACTTCCTCCTCTGTGTTCTCTGAAAGTTTGCCATCACTTCCTGCAAAGGCCTGTGGCTCACCAGTGGCTCCTGTTGTGTTAAACATTTCAGTTACTCCCTCTCGCTGCATTTGCAGGTTAGGTGAGCACTCTGAAGTACTAGAGCTGTCCTTGCCAGCTCTGTGGTTGCTGCGGAGACTCCTTCCCCCATTCTAATCTGTTTTCTTGGCCAGTCACCTGACTCTTTTCTCTGGCTCCTATCTTTGGTGAGTTGCACCCTCCTTTATGACATGTGTTGTACTTTCTGCTCCATGTCCTCCGTCACCCATTTTTTTAGTCTTTGGTGTTTTGTTTTTTTTTTTTTTTTAATCAGATTGCAAAGTCTCAGAATTTGTTTGATTGGTGTTTTTATACACGGCAGAAAACTTACCTACAGTGGCGTAAACAAGCAAGGGTTGATTTCTTTCTTTGCATAACAAATTTTGAGGCTTTGTAATTTGTTACCAGTTAATCCACTCTGAGAAAGAAAGTCATTGGCTAGCTCAATTGACAACCTACAGCTGTGTCGTTTTCTTAGCGCTAATTTGAGAGAGAGAGAGAGAGAGAGAGAGAGAGAGAGAGAGAGAGAGAGACACTAGAAGGAGTTGGTGTGCTACTTGCAGCAGCTGGGAACAGACACATCATAGCCTCACGGGCACAGGCCTTTCACAATCCAACATGCTGCTCAGCTCCCCAAAGGACGAGAGACACCCAGTTAGGACTGTGTTGAGTGGAATGGAATCTCCCTCGAACGTGGCCCGTTTTTTAACATTTAAAGCAGACGGCCATTTCATTCAGAGCGTTATGGAAGGTCTGTTCTCAGGCCAACACTGATTAGTCTGTGTCCTAAGACAGTCATTAGCAAGCAGTAGGAAGGAAGGGTGATTCACTTCACAGAGATGCCAACACGTAAAGGACAGACAAGGCCTGGGAACACGCAAAGCTGTCGCTCTGAGAGCACACTCCTCTCACCTCCATGACAATGATAAAAGCCAGCTTGGCGGCGATCACGTGCCAATAGTAGATGTTGTGTTTATACTCCTGTGGGTGCCCGGGTGGGTTTCGGAAGTCACGGTATCTGAAAACACAACCAGGCATGTTAGCAGACAAATCTTGTGGATTACTATTGCAAACAAGAACCCAGTTTAAAACCAGAGTCGTTCTCAACACAACGACTTTTCAGGGGAACATCACACACATCTCACTTAAAGTTCAGTTTGGTATCAAATACCGGGAGAAAATTAACCCGTAGTAACTTCCTGAGCGTGTAATCCGAAAATGGTGGATTCTAGCTGTGTAAAATAAGGTGAATCTTCATAAGGTAACAAAGTATTTACATAGTTTTCCCAACTTTATCCCTGCTTTCTGAAAAGACATTAAACAATTCGGCTATCTTGGCCATCAGACCTGGCATTTCCACAAGGAATCACCACCTGCAGGTTAACTCTTCACCTAACTCTGTTGTCTTCATCGGGCTGCCCACTTCTGACTTCTCGGCTGTAAACTATTAGACCCACAAGACTGCAATTGCTGAGATCGGAATATGTGCAGTCCACTTGGACCAGTTCTTTTGCTCTGATGTCTTAGTTGTGTTACTGAAAATCTGAACCCGAATGGCTTTGAGCAGCTGAATTAAATGAATTTGCGTTTAAGAATCTGTAATAGAGAGAATCAATTTGCATGACCTACATGGTCAACAAACTACCAACTGGTAAGTGAGTTAGGGTGCACTATCCATGTTGACCTCCCAGCCACCAATGCAGAACACTGGAGACATCCCATTGCATCCATCCTTACGTTGTTGCTCAGTGAGGTGCCAGTGTGTCATCATTAGCTTTGGGCTGTCCTTAAGATGTCTTATTTCTCTTTCGTTTCACTGCTGGGAACAGAACCCAGGGCCATGCCCATGGGAGGCAAGCATTCCTACCGCTGAGCCACAGCCTGCATGCTTCTTTCTTTCTTCTTCTATTTTATTTTGCTAAATAGTTTTGCTTTGTATCCCAGGGTGTCCTTGAACTTACTGCGTATCCCAAACTTGCCTCTGCTAGAAGCAATTCACCTGCAACTACCTCCTCTGTGCTGGGGTTGCGGGCAGGCACGGCTACTCCTGCATTCATGATTTGTGTCAGCTCAGCAAGAACTACGAGCTGAGCTACATTCCTCAGCCTCACATGGCACTCTTAGAACTGAGTGATTTCAGTGTGTAAAACTCTCAGCCGTCTCCATTTCTAGAAGCCACAGACTCCTCGCCTCCATCAGTTTTATGTGTCCGTTTGCACGCCATTCAAATTTGGTTTAAAAGTTCTGCACTTGGTCTTTGTTAGCTTTGATTTGCTTGTTTGTTTTTGAGTATTACTGAAAAGAAAGCCATGTGAAAACTGTCTCTTAACACAGACTGAAATGACACCAGATAGAACTTACCACACATACCAAAGAGGCTTTCATAAGACGAAGTCCATTTTTAGACAGATAAATCAAAACTTGCCTGCACAAGGTATAGTCGCCAAGTCCAATGTATGGGTTTTCTTTGTCTGCATTTTTGAAGTCGGTGATGTTGAAGACAGAGAGAGTGTTGTTGATGTAGCCGTCCATGGTGTAGGAACTGTGGTCCCCATAGGGAGGGATGGAGAAGGACCAATAATACACCAGGCGGGGGATCATGTCTGATGTGAAAGCAATGATCATAGCCTGTGTTGTGGAAAACGAGAAAGGAGATGTTAACTTAGAGTGGTAGCCATGGTTCACTGTAGGGCAGAATCGCGGTTTTACCGAGTGGTGATTCTAAGTGTGAGGTATACATATTGAAAGCAGAAGACACTTTGGAGGGAGGTCTCCCATTCTACGGGGAGGCATGAGGGAAAGGCCCGATAGTTGGCTGCTGAGCTTGGGAGACACTTTAAACACCATTGGTTGAGATTAACTGCACTGTGGCACCATGAAGAACAGGACTGGCTTGTATAACTTGTGTGTAAATCCGTAATATCTAGTTAACCTTAGAGCTCTACCTGGGACAACCAGAAGTCTGTCATGATTTAGAATCAGCATGCTCTTGTGATATATTGTATTAGGAAGATAATCTTGTTTTATTAACTTATTTGTAGAATAAAGAATTTATATAAAACTGCTTTTTCATAAAAATCACTTGTCTCTCTCAAAGAAGAATGAGAATTGAACAAAATACCTCTCTCTTGATGCACAGTTATAAAATGGCCACTAACCTCACACTCCTTACCCCCAAGGTATCTTAGACTTACTTAGACAATCCATGACCTGATAAACTATATTGGGTTTATTCTATTCCTCAGTCAGGAAACAAGGCCAGCTTTAAAACATCTAATCTGAGCAGCCAAACTTCCAAAAGATTAACTGGATAAAGTTCTGAAATCACAAATTATCGTATAACATGGTTTAGCATGTTCCTGCATAGAAAGAGTAAACAGGTCAATTATGAGTCTGTGTCTACCCCCAGGCAGAAGCATATTAGGCCGAAAGCCTATTTAGAACTACATGGACCTTCCCCAAAGATCTTTAATTTGGGCTTTCAACTCTGATATATAAAATTATTTTGCAGAAAGGACAAAAGGTATGCACTTTAGGCCAAGCACCAACTGAGCCCAAGAATAGACATGTTTTGGTGCAAAGTGATTTTTAATAGTATTCATCTGGACACATGGTTTAGTTGCAGTGAGACCACAAACAAGATCCAGGCAAAGCAAGCTAATTTCCTTGCTTTCTGAGATGTGAAGAATCAATCATCCCCCCGCCCCATGTGTGTGTATGCATGCATGTGTGTCTGCTTGTCAGCAGTGAGGTGTGTGTGTGTATGTATATATGTATCTATGCAGGCATGCATGTGTGTCGCCTGTCAAGAGTAAAGTAAGACAAGAAGATATGGCATTTGCCAGACTTCAGTAGATGAAGTTACCCTGCTGTCATTTAGCTCAATACTACCTTTTCACAGAATCACCAGAAGACATGCTTCAGGAAAGTATAAAAATTCCAAGAAAAAAGAAAATTCTCTCATTTTCTGACAAGGCACCTTTTCTCCCTGAATTGATCTGCTCTGACACACACTGCAAGAATACACATAACGTAGCTTGCCTCATTTCCCATGCTGTTCTACACACAAGTTCCATTTATATCAAAATAAATTAAAATTGCTCTTCAATAGCAGATGCGCTGGCAAGGCACAACAATGTCAGCTGCACTTATTTCTGGAACCATCAGCCTTAACTCAAATGACTTCACAGCACACGTCCGCTTGGCGTCTCCTGCCTTGGTGGCCTCTCTTTCTTCTTTTGTACACACTAGGTGGTGACTATCATGTGGGGGTTTCAGGGGGAGGGTTATATATGTGGGGTAAGGGCTCATGTTTCACGGTTACCTGTGTGCATATTTACAATGCATTTATAAGTGTAACAAATGCTGACAGTGTGGACTGAAGGGTTTTCCATAGTTTAAGAAACAACACAAATCTAGGAAAGAGCTTTGTTTAGAGTATATTACAGAAAAAAAATAACTGGCAGTCCCAATTAGTTGGTGTGTGTGCATGTGGTGTGTGTGTGTGTGTGTGTGTGTGTGTGTGTGTATGTGTGAGCCTGTGTGAATATACACACACACTCACACTCACACAGTGCTTTGGAAACCCAATCAATGCCCGATCTGTGTTCATGGAGTAGAGCCATGGCATGGACAGAGGGATTGTGTATCTAACACAATCACTCCAGAATGCTTGAGGAATCAGGAATTTGAACAACATCAATTTTTTTATTTGTTTCTGAAGGTCAAACAAAAACCCTTTTAGTTTCAAACCTTTCTGCCAGAAGCTTCCCTAAAGCACACAGATCCACGTTCCTGCCCTGCCTAACGTACTATAGCGTACTGGCTGTGGCAGATTCGTGCTTTCTTGACTGTAGCATTTGAAAGGCCTTGTTGTCATGGCTCTAAACATCACTCTTCATTGTGAAACGCAGTGGGCACTGAAGCTAGGGGCTATTCGGGTGGAAAGAAACTGATTTAATCTATCAGTTCCCCAAAGCTAGAGGTAGGCTGCAATTCAGAAAACTCGTGGGGGTGGGGGTGACAGCTGTGTTCCACATAACTTGTTTCATTGTATCCAGTCAAGGGGGTGATGGTTTTGAGGTTCCTGTTGGTGCCTGTCAGAGTCCTCAGAGAGCTGAGTTAATGATGTCGAGTAATGAAGTTAAATAGCAGCAACTATGTGAACGAGGACCCAGCTCCATGTGTCTGCTGTAGCTCACTGACTTCCCAAACCATGCTGAGTACAGAATCATTCATCTAACGAATATAAAACGGGGCTCTGAAGTGTACAGAGCCAAGATCACACAGCTCAAGCTGTGGTGTGGGAAGTGGAACTCAGATGGCCTGACTCCACAGCCACTTCCCTCCTCCGGAGCCTCAGACAGACACTGCCTCTCCCTCTTCTGCTTTCGCAGGACTTCGTTTATGGGGATTCAGCAACTGTGGTTTAAGAAGCTAAAATTAAAAAATCATTTGCTTGGCAAGCTGGCCTGGTGAGATTGGTGGTGAAATATGGGTAGAAATAACCCTGGTTTGGAGGATATTTGTAGGCAAGAGACCCTTTAATTGGCTGGCATTACGCTGCTCTGCCTAAAGGCTGCCTCTTGGCCTGCGCACAGACACACAGCCTGTACAGCCTGTACAAGCCAGTTGTGTTCTTTCCCGAGGTTGCTGCAGCCATGGTGCAGGGACTGCCCCACCTCCTGTAAGAGCTGTTTCCCTGGAGACAAGAGGGTAACTAACACCCAGTTAGGATGGCCAATTTCTCCTTCATCACAGTTTATATTTTATTCTATTCTATTTATTTATTTATTCTTGGCTTTTCAAGACAGGGTTTCTCTGTAGCCACAACTAATATTTTAAAATGTCATTTTAGAATATATAGTGATATACGGTGGGATGCTTAAATGAACCCCTATCTGTCTGTGTTTAAAAGCCTTTTACGTCATATATGACGTCATATCACTGTTTCTCTGGATAGAGACTTCAGCAGCAGGGGAGAACCAGTACTACCTGTGGAGGATGTCCTGATGGGGTGAGTCAATAATAATTAATCATAAGCAATTAAAATGTATTGTAAAAAGATAGTTGTACAGCGGCTAAAAGCCACCCTGGGGGCTAGAGAAATAGCTCAGCTCTTGTTGAGAATGCTTGCTGCTCCTGCAGAAGACCTGGGTTCTCTATTCCTAGCACCTGCATGGTGGTTTACAACCAGCTGAAATTTCAGTTCCAGGGGCTTCCACATCCCCTCTGGCCTCACGGAGCATCAAGCACACATGTGGTCCCCATACAAGCAGGCAAAACACCCAGACCATAAACATGACAGTGGAAGGAATACCCTGACAATCCCGGGCCTACTCACGTTGGTCACCACAGCCAGAATGGCTATTCCTTGCATGATGGGCTGCCACGCGCCGATGTCCCGGGCTTTCTCTGGCACCATGCGCCTATACTGAGTTGTTAGCTTCCACGCATCCACTCTTATTTCCAATATATTGTTCACCAGAGCCAGCAGGGGAGCCAGTGGGAAAGAGGCCACAAATAAGGTGACGAACCCAAACTGAATAACTGTCAATGGAACGGACACACATCATGGAGGGGAAGACAGACGGCAGGACAACATATTTCCCTTCACTCTTGTAAAGAAAGATAAAGGCAAACAAAGAACCCACCCGAGTGAGGGGACACATTCATGGCCAATCACAACACAGCGCTCACAACGAGACGGATTAAACAAAATGCAGATAGGAAACCTAGGAAAGGAGACTAAGTACAGCTCATTCCCTCTGTACACGTCCACTCAAAGGAAGCGCCATGTTGAAAGCTCTTTGACTCAACCACCGTTACCTTCTGGTAACACGGTCGAGTCATTCTAAGCATATTATCACCTTTTTATGTGAAGATACTATCAGAAGCAGATCGAGGCTTGGGATTTTAAAATAGAACAAAGTGGAAGTATCTAGTAATCAAGGAGAAACAGAAATGTGTGGCTGTGAAGACGATGTTCAGGGAATGGAGGAAGTGTGTTAGCGACAAGCAGACTGTGAGCTACAATGAACCTTTTCCTCCTTAAATTGCTTCTCTCAGGGTATTTTAACTCAGCAACAGGAAATACATGAAAATAGCCATCATTCTCTTGACTTTGGAAAATTAGCTTGGAGATGGGTCGAACTAACAAAACAAAGATGGAGAAGGCAGCCCAGAGACACGGGGGCTCACTGCATCACCTTGGTGCCCTTCACTATGCTGTCTGCCAACTATGAAGATGTCACCAAGGAGATCTGTGTCTATGACAGATAGAACCTATGTTCCAAACAGTATCCTCAGCTTCCGGTTTTAGGGTCAGTTGCTGTTCTTCTCTTTTGTTCTGCACCTTAAGTTCTCGGGGTGAGGACCTAGCACTCTGTCGGGCAACTTTGCCTAATACCCCAGAATTATTCAATCTCCAATCATGGGGAAATGTACTAGATAGAAAACAAAAACTTTGCTAGCAGCAGTAACAATAAGAACAAAAATTATAGGGCGCAGAACCTCCGTGGGCACTGAGAGTAGGTAGGGCAATACAAATGTAAGACTGAGTAGCAGTCGCATACATGCTTCAAGGTCCACAAATATCTGGGAGTACCAGGTCGTGCTTGGTAGCTGAGTCTAGCAGGGGAAGAGGCATTCGTGTATGCATTGGATTATGGGAGCCAGGGCTGCTTGGCCTTCCAAGAGCAGCCATGCAGAGGGAAGAGCTGACTGGCTCTGCTGAGGTCCACCAAGAGCCAGTCAGACAGGAAAGAAAGGGAAGGAGACATGGTTGGTGGAGGGCACGGGCCACCTGTGGGATGGTGGCATTGCTGGCGAGAGTGGGAGGACACTGTGAAAGTCACCTCAGCAGGACACCATGCCCAGAGATAATATTTATTTTCAGAGAAATGAGACAGGGACTCAAATGGTACTGAAAATTTTATCTTTCACAGGCTCGGAGGACTAAACACAGATTCCACTGTGTTACCAAACACAAAGTAACATTGTCTGTGCTCTGGAACTCAGGAAGCTTTCTAAGTCACTGGGAATTGCTAGGATGGCTACAAAGCATGGTAAGAATTTCGAAGTCTGTCTACAGCAGCTGTTATGATAGCATATATCGTGCATGTATTATAGAGTAGGATGAGACCGAGATAATTAGTTCATAACTATTTAACAGGCCCATGAAACTCTAAACTTCTGTTCATCTTCTCCCCAAAGCGTGGCTACGTAACCTTTCCCCTTAAAGCCATTCATGTAACTAATTAATTGGGGGGAAAAATAACCTTCTCTGAAGTCTTTGTGCTGGGGAGAGGCTCAAATAAATAACATTCTGTGCCCGGGAGCTACTACTATTAATGCTGAGAACGGCTCTGGGAAGAGAAAGTTAGTAGCTGTCTTGTGATCCATTCCGTACTGATGCTGTGCCCTTAATAAAACCCAATCTTGATAAAAAAGCAAAAGCAAATTTCAAATCTGACCCCAGGCTGATGCACACACAACGTGGACTGTTTACTCAGCCAGACAAATCTTTCTGAGTGTTATGCTTACTTTCTAGAAGATATTTATACATAGACTATGATTAAATAATCTCCCTCCTGTCTGCAGGAAGCGCTGTCCTGGCAGATACAAACGCTGTGCATACGCACGAGGCCTGTCAGGTTCTTATGCCTGTTTTTCTGTTTCCCAAGCTTAAAAAATTGTGATTCGTTGCAAAGGTTAGGTCAAAGGGCAGAGATGCAAAATACGAAATGGCTAGTCATCTTTCAGATATAAGCATGCCATTAACAATAGTAAGGTTAGTGTTTCTGATAAAAATCTGTTCTGAGATGCATCTATTTAAGGCAACAGAGCTCAAAACCGTGTTCAATTAATGAAGAAAGAGAGGGCCTATGTGGGCAATTCACAAATGGAAAAGACATTCAAGAGATGGGGCAGGGTCTGTGCCAGGACAGTCGAATGGCTCCTCTCTCATACGGTCACTCAAGGCACCGTATACAAACCCTGCCCGGAAGAAACGAGAGGCCATCTAAAGCAGGAGTGAGGTTTGAAAGGGGAAAGGGACCCTTCCTGCCATGAGGGACCATGTTCTCACAGACTTGTCCAGTGACTCTGTTCTGGCTAATAGCAGTGCCCGCATGGACTCTGGCCTAAGCTCAGTGAATCATAACTAACGACAGTGATTGGGGTTCATTCACAGACAGCACGGTCAGAACGCTATGAGAACTTATAGTGAAGGAGTACCTCAGGGAAAATCCCATTTCATTACCTGGTAATAAATCCTTAGCTCTGAACAACATAAATACTACCAAAACCACACACAGACAGCGTATTTGAAAGTTTTGATTTTTCTCTGCTATATAATTCTGTCTGTTGGAGAAAAACATACTAACCCATAGCAATATGCTAAATAACTCTGTGGTTCAGCAACAGATTCCTTCCGCTCCAACACATAGCCCAGCGGATTTTACTAAATACTTACTCATTTCCAGATACTCATAGAACAAGCCCAGCTTGCCCATGGGCTGCAGATGGTAATCCTGCTCCCAACGTGGAGTGATGTTTTCTGACCCTGAAACCCTCTTATATCGTCCAATTAGATTCATGACCCATCTGCCAGAAAAAAAAAATCAAATTATAAATTAGAACGAATATTGTCAGAGCCACATCATGATGTATTTCTTGCTGTCTCAAAGCTGAATATGTAATCCTCCCAAGAAATTAGTTTCTCCTCTGCATGCTAAATATCTTCAGTTTTCCATTTTTTTCATTAAAAAACATTTTTTTTTTCCTAGCATGAAAATTGTCAGTGAAAAAAAAAAAAGCCCAACGCAGCTGGTGGTACCCTGCTGCAGACAAGTTCTGTTTGTATCTGGGTGCAGGGGGAGTTGGGGATGCTCAGGTGACATTAAGTATGAGGCTGTGAAGGGGACAAAGGGCTGAATAGCAGGGCTAGAACCTCCCAGCTAGGGACCAGGGGCTACAGACAGCCTGAGGCAGGAGCAAACCCGCCTTTGGCAGACAGATCAAAACAGAAGCTCTTGTGGTCTCAGGAAGGAGGAAGCAAGGCTGGAGCACTGGGGTGGGGTCTAAGAGCGAGGATAGGGGTGTTCTTAGGGACGTGAGGGGCTACGGCAGAACACTAAGCACAATTATAAACTAGGTCTCCAACTCAGCAAACACCTTCAGGACAACGGAAAGACATGCATGCCCTTTAGATCAGGGTGCGTAGCCAGCCCTGCACAGCCCTGCACACTGCCCCCGTCGAGCCATCTGCTTCCGCTTTCTGAACACCATGCTTCTCGTGTCCCTGATAAATGCTCCCCACCCTTTCCAGGGCAAGCTGCCTTGAAAGCAGACCCAAGATGGCAACAGAACTGGCCATGCACCTCCACCCCATCAAGAAACAGCTGGCTTCAAGTCCACCCATGCCTCTCCTATACTTCGGTTGTGAGACGACAGGTTTGTGTGGGTCTGGAATTCTGACACTCAGGACTCATGGCGGGACTGTAAAGACAAACACTACAAGAAAGCGGTACAGTGTTTCAGATTCGAGGCTGACGAGAGTTGGCTCGCTACGTGGGGCTTCTCTCTGCTGCTCTCTTCAGTCATCCTGAACCTCCAGCAAGGCTTACCCAGGCTCATGCTCTTCCACAAAACATAGCCCTGGCTTCCCCATATCTCCTTGGCTTCCCCATCTCTCCCCACTTCCTCTGTAGGAGGCAGGGCAAACAGAGGAACTCAGACTTGGATACCCTTGAATCAGAACCTACATTCTCTGGCTTCCTAGCTGCTCTACTTTGGTAAAGTTAAACCATGCGGGTGTACACTGGCCAGGGTTGATGCCAGGATTAATGGGATTCATGACAGGTGAGAGGGCCAGCACATTTCCTCACAATCACAGGGTTTCCTGCTGGCCCAAACAAGCTAACCGGAAGAGGCTACTGAAGACGGAGCTATGATACTGGGACCTTGGTTTCCAGGTGAGGAATATTTGTGGACAGCAAAGCCAAGCCTCCTCTATGTCCATCCAAAGATCTGAGAAAGCACCAGAATCTGCGATGCTGTAGCCTCTCCAGCAGCCCTAAACACAGGTGGTATCCAAGGGCCACACCTAACTCAGCAGAGACCCCTCCTACCAGGCTGTCCTCCCACGTGACTCTTGGCCTGGCTTTAGGCCTCTTGCTCCATTTTCCTGAGTTGAATCACTCATCTCTAATAGAAACTCATCCATCTTTGCCTTGAGTCTTTAGAGTTTGTTTCCTGTTATTGTTGTTTTGATTTTAAACAAAACCAAATAGACCAAACAACAACAACAAAACCACACCTGGGCTGTGACTCTGGTGCCAGATCTCAACCTTGACAACACGTGAAAATTACCACAAACCTTTAAAAAGACAAATGAACCCCACCAGAGGGCCTTTCCCTCTCCTGCCAAGACAAGAGGCAGAGGTTACAAAGTAACTTCTGTACAAATTTACCTTAACATTAACAAAACACGCACTACTAAACTTCCGTTTGCTAGGTTGTGATAATATTTTAGATCTCATCTTCTCTTGGCCTTCTCAGATGCCATTGCTGCTTAGGTACATCCCCACCCACCAGCACGCATCCCTTGAGGGACACTTCACGCCTGAAGTCAACGTTCTTGTGCAGCGTGAGTGTGTGAAGAGCGAGCGTGGCCATGGAGGCCTCATGCACAGCCTCTCTTGAAGACAGGCATTTTCTAATGCAACAGTCCCTTCCCTGGTTATATAAGTACATGGTCATTTTGAAAAGATAAAAGTTACATAAAGGGAAAAAAATGTCACAGCCATCCCCTGGCTAAATATCTAAAGACATTAATGTTCTAGGTGCTTTAGGGTCTTCATAACATTCTTTAGTGTTAGCACCATCTTTTGTGAAGAAAAGAAAGTACTAGAATGCCCTGAATATCAGTGCTGGGAGGACCTGAGGGCTGACTTTCTCAGGGTTCAGCAAAACACCGTATCATTTATTCACTCAAGGGCTCAAGCCCAGCGCCTGCTTTGTACTGGGGGCCAACCTAGGTATAGGCTCCGTTCAGTCTAGGATCTGAGTTGAATGAATGGTGTGGATCTGAAATGACCACGTCTTAAGAAATTTTCATCAAATACCCTTCACCGTGCTCTTTTGACATAGCAACCTCAAATGGAAGCCGTGATGGCTCTTCCTGGCTTGAACATTGTTCAGAGGAGTGAGGTGCTGGGAGGCAGGGGTAATGGGCACCCACTGTACCGGATTCTGTGTGGAATGAAGAGGCTAGTTCACACAGAAGCACAACCCCAGGGACACTATTCTAATCGAGACTTGGCATTCTCAAGTCTAAAGCCAGGGAAGGAAATTAAAACCATGACGTCATTATCTTTGGCCAGAATGGAAATCTCTGTAATTGTGAGATCAAGCTTACTTGAGGTCGGGATTAATTTAGGAAAGACGCCTTCCCCACTAACTTTTAAAACCTTAGAAAATAGCTCACTGTCAGGCAGTTACTCGTCCAAAAAATTCAGTGTTAAATAATCTACTTGGCTCAGAAAATGCTGCTTTAGTAGTACAAGAATGGGTTAAGTTTTTTAAAAATACATTTTCATATTGAAACAGCATGATTTGTGCATGACCTACTTTTACTTATCTGGAAAAACACGACTATGAACTTGATGAAAGGGAGGGTTGTTTTCTGTGTAGCAGGATTAAAGTTATCTCACAGCTAAAGCTGGAATCCTTTCCTGGGACGGGAGTGTTGTCTTAGCTTTGAGAAGGGCCTTGACAGCTCACACTGAAGAGGAAAAAGCCACAGTGATGTGGACGTTCGGAAACCCAGCCAGCTAGCTATCCCGGAGAGAACGCACCGAAACCTGGCGGTGCCAAAGACCAAGATTCAGGGCAGTAAAAGAGACAAAACTGCATGTGGTGGGGAGCACAGTGAAGGACGCAGGAGGCTGCAGCCTAAACCAGGTGCTGAGTTGTGAGCAAGTCTATCCCACTGCATAGTGGGGTGGAAGACTTTACAAAGGAAGGATTTGAATTTCGAAATGTAAATTCTGAGTTTACCTTCCTGCTTGAGTGTGCAGCTCAAGGCGAGGTGACACTCTACACTGTTGTTGACACGGAAGAGAAAAGGGTTCAAGGAGGAGGCAAAGTAGTACAGGGGGATCAGGTGTTTCGTGAAAGCAAAAATAGAAACCAGAAACCAGCTTGAAAAAGTAATCTTGTGGGCAGAGCATTGGCCTCTCAAAGAGGTTCCCTGCCCATCTCCAGAACGTCTGAAGAACATTGGGTTCTATGGAAGCATTGACTTAGGGCAGGAGACCATCTTGGATGATGGGAGCGGCAGAGGCATGGCAGACAGCATCCCAAGGGAAGGGTCTGTCTGGGTGGCTGCAAGACCAGAAAAAGCAAATGCTGATTACCTGAGACCTTCTGGAAAGGCCCTGGCTACCCAGCACTCTGGTATTAGCTCAGTGAGACCCACGTTAGACATCTGACCTCTAGGACTGAAAGACTTCGAACCTTATTTTAACCCATTGACTTCGTAATAATTTGTTAAATTGCAATGGAAAACTATTATATCAAGGGTTCTGTTTGCAGGAAATGCAGACGGTGCTGGGCTGTCTACAGATCCCACAATAGGGGCCTTGCTAACTATCTGGAGGGCAACTGTGCCCTGCTGCTGTTCTCATTCACCCCTATGGTAACTGTTTCTGAAGCCCTGTAGATCACAGGAGATGTCTGCTCTTGACAACACTGAGTCATGGGATCCTGGAGTTGAACCTCTCACTGCTAGGGTGATCTTGGGTAGACCATTTAACCTCTTTAAGCCACAGACCTTCATTAGCAAAAAGGCGATTAAAGTAGGATCTATAAACGTAAAGTATACAAATGTATACACATGCACATAAACATATAGATGGAAACACACAGAACTTGCTTCAGAGACCGGCACATATTAGGTGTGCAACACATTACTATTAACGACTTCTACATGCATGAGGGTGGGAATTCTACGTGGATGTGTGGTGATATGTAGTTCACAGTTCTAAAGGTCATTTCTCAAGGGCCTCTGCTGAGTCAGTCTAAGAGGCATGTGCCACAGCAGGTGGGATTTCTGTTAAGTATGAAGATGACGGTCTTATAGAACTACTGTGTGTGCTTGTGTGCAAGCACACATGTGTACGCGTGCTTGTGCAGGAGTGTGGGAAGTCCAGAGGCTGGCATTAAGTGTCTTCACCGATCAGTCGCCACCTAGCTTTTTCCAGGCATGGTCTATCATTGATCCCAGAGCTTCCGGATTCAGCTATGCTCACTGGCCGCCCGGTGAGCTCGGGGGATCCTCTCGTCCCTATCTCCCCAGCGCAGAGGTACCAGGTGTGGACAACAATGCCTGGTTTTTCACATGGGTCCTGGGGATTCCCAACTCCAGCCTTCATGCTCACACAGGAAGCACGCTGCAACTGGGCCGTCTGCTGAGCCCCCGCATATAATCATTAAACATGTATTAAACATGTATAAACCACTGGCGAGACCTTCTTGTCTAGAGCCATTATTTCAATGGATTCTATGTGCTTGAGGGATAGACGTAGGGCAACGTGAGCACATTACTTCACTGGGTGGGTTGACCTGTCCCCCGTCCTGACACCCAGGACCACATAGCTAGTACTCACGGGAGCAGCACTTCTTGTATGTTATTCCAGATGGCCTTCCCCCCCATGATGATTGTCAGCTGCGTGGTCAGTTCCAGGAGACAGCCACCCGGGTCGCACTGCATGTTACAAAGAGGACAACATTCAGATTTCAGGGGTATAACTTGCAAAGGGGCATTAACACTTCTGCCTGTGCTCTTAGGCTAAACATCACTCAGGAATACACAAGGAAGTCACTGTTCACCAGGCAGCCGAGGGAAAGCAAGCGGCAGCTTCAGCTGCCTAGAGAGTTGCACGGCTCGGTTTTCGCACCTCTTCGTTTCTGTACTTGCCCAGCCAGTACACTGGGTCCCCTGGATAGCCGACGAACTTGCCCTTGAAGAAGGCGATGTAGAAACATGAGGAATAGTAGTTGACGAACTGGAACAAGAACATCTTCATGGTCAGGCTGTTCTCATAGTCAGTCTGGGTCCTTGGGAGTTCTGCGGTTAAAGCAACAGCGGAGAAAGACACTGAACTCCGGAACAGCTCTGAGACCCTAATCAAAGGCTTTGATCCCCGAGAGAGCACGCCGAAAGGAATACAATTCACACTGTTTCCGTTTAATCTGCTTTTCATTTCTTAATATAGCCGCTGTGCTAATTCTGAGTTTACACACCGATATGAGTTCTGGTTCCATATAGACACAGTGTCCTCCAAAGGCAAGCAACACACATACACTTACTCACCGCTCCTTAAAATTTATAAATGTTTTATAATCAAATGGGCGAGCAGGGTTTGGGTCTAAAACCCCAGAGTTCATTTTGTTGTGGTGTTAGGGATCAAATCCAGGACCTCCGCCACTGAGCGACATGTCCAACCCCACAGAAAATTAGCTGTGAACTGCCAAGCAAAGGCATTTCTTTTGTCCTCGGAGTTATAAGGTCTGTTGGAAACAGTGGAACAGGGGCAATTGGCTGGAGGCATCTGGGAAGCACAAAAGGTTGTCCCCCTTGCTATGAATCTCAGCCAGTCTGTCATTCTGAGAATGACCCGGATGCAGGCAGGGTGCGGGAAGTCCCTAACTCTAGTCATGAGGCAGCTGCCTGGGATGCCAGCCAACCGGAAGCAGCACTCATTACATCAGGCAGAGCTGATGAGAACTGTATTAACGCGGACAGCATGGGGGAATGCCACACACCCGGGTGGCAGCTTGTCTCTCTTTGACTGGAGAGCGTACTTGCCACTGGAGCCGCGGCCCTGTTCCACTTGTTTGCAACAAAGAGACGATTTACTTTCAGCAAGAGAACACATGATCTAATGTCATCAGACATATCCTTCACCCTGATGAGTTTACGGACAGTCCCACCATTGTGTCTGATGGTCCCGACTTCTAATACAGAGACGTACACAACCTACTTTCCATATGGACTAGAGAGAATACATTTACGCTCAAAACTTCCTAAGAATTTTAACCCACAGGGATGAAAACAGCGAAAGGTTCTCTATCTCGGCCATCACTCCAGCCGGGCAGGACCTCACCGAAGTTGGTGATCATGATGGCCACCCTCTCGTAGATAGTGTTCAGGATCATGATGATGATGAAGCTGATGATAGAAGCTGTGATGGACGTGGCCATCTGCGGTGTCAGGTATTTCTGGATGGGGTCGGTCCCGTTTGGGTTGTTGGGGAGGCTGGCAGAGAACACAATGAACACCGACAGTCTGTAGACGATGATGCCGATCACGGAAGCGATGATGAGCAGGATCTGAAAGCACCAGGAGTGGCAGCGTGAGCCTCAGCGGGAGTCGGATCGGCACCGAGACTGGCCTGGCGCTGAGGAAAACAGGGGCAGGTGCCAAATACAGGACACCTCACGGGGCCCAAAGAGGGAACATCTACCAGACTGGGCCAGGCAAGAGGAGACATGGTACCCTTTACTACATACATATTCTCTACAACCATCCTAAAACTAAGAGAGTGCCAAGAAAGTCTACATTAGAAGGAGAGTTATCTCCAGACGGCACAAGAACGGAGTAACATTCTGGGTGGAAGGAGAGTTCACGATCATGGAAGCAATGAGCATGCCCCTTGTGTGACTTCAGCCATTCTGCTCCGCGGAGAGTCATTCCTTCCAGCAGAGAGGGAGTCACGAAGAGTCAGCGTGGGCTGGCTTTGCCTGTACCTGAGCGTTATCACTGTCTAACTGGAGCACTGACCAAGACACTGGGTCGCTGGTTTTGGCAGCAGGACTCAGCTTTCAGAGTTCCTGCTTTACACATTCGGGTTCTCCTGAGCTCAATCACTCACACCTGCACCCCCAATCAGACCTGCTGCATTTCTGAGTCCCACTTCACAGGGCCTCTGGGACACCCGGGTTCTCTTGAGCTCAGTCATTCACACCTGCACCCCCCAATCGGACCTGTCGCATTTCTGAGTCCCACTTCACAGGGCCTCTGGGTCATCCCCTGCACAGTCTGCACGTAGTAGAATTTTACTTTCTCAGTAAACAGGTCTGCTCTCTCTGGTCAGCGTTAACTGCATGTTAAAGACGCTTTCCTTGCTTGATGCAAGAGTATTTAGACCAATGGTTCTCAACCAGTGGGTCGAGACCTCTTTCACAGTCTGAAGACCCTTCCACATTGGTTGCTTGAGACCATCAGGGATATCCGATTTACATCACGATTCCTAACAGTAGCAAAATTACAGTTATGAAGTAGCAACGGAATAATTTTAGGGATTGGGGGGTCACCGCAACATGAGGAACTGTATTGAAGGGTCACAGCATTCGGAAGGCTGAGAACCACTGATTTAGACACTCTTAGAGATGCCCTATATCAAGCTGTTCCCTATAGCTTCTTTTTTGGATATTCTTCAGAACCAGGGACTCTGAGTGCTCATGATGAGAGCCGGGGAAAAGCTACAGAGAAGAGGAACTCAGCACCAAGCACGGCACAGCACAGGCCAGCACACGCAGAGCAAGAGACAGGGGTGAGCTATAGACTCCTGCGTATGAACCCCAGCTCTGCCACTGGCTGTGGAACCTCGTATAGGTTAACCTCAGCATCCACTTTCCTCAGGCAATGGGCAAAAGACTACAGGGAGAATACCATGCCAAGGCCTAGGAAAAGCATTGGGTAGCATTAGCTGTGATTATGGGGACAAAGAGTTAAAGAGACATTTCCTTACTTGTGCAATCTGCGTACAGAGAAGGCATTGTGTGTTCCTGTAATCTGGCTCATTATCCCCTCTCCTTCACAGTTAAGTCTTGTGAAATGAAAAGGATTGTGTGTGTGGTACGTGTAAATTAGCTGGGGCTGAGAAAAACTGGGAAATGTGGTGCCTTCCTCCCCCAGCATAATGCACACAGGCCATCCAAGCCTTTCTAATAATCACCCCGCAATCCCTTTGCTGGTTACTCATCACCAGAGCAGCCTTGAGGTACTTATGGCCAACCTCAACGCCCTTCCGCTACTGAATTCTCCTAAGCAGTCTGGACAGGAGGCAGTGTCAGAAGGAGGAAATACAGGCAGAGAGAGAGCGAGAATCTGTTCTGTTTGAGCTGACAGGAAGGGAAACCGTTGGAGTCAAAAACAGACCCTGGCAGCTCGGCCTCCCCCTTGGCTTGAGTAAGACTCTGATAGCTCTGGTGACAATCGCGGAAGGCCTCCACAACTTTCCAGGCATCTGCTCTGAGCAGGGCACTTTCTCCCCTTCGATTTATCTTTTTCTGACTCTAACTTAGACATTTTTTCAGACTCAACTGTAGGGCGTGCTCACTCTAGAGAACCTGCAAGTGTCCCATGGTGGAGAGACCTAGAGCCTGTCGAGGAGCTGTGGTCTGTAGGGTCACCCTCTCCCAAACTCTCAGCCTCCTGAGTGTCCACTGGATGCTACCTGGGTCACAGCCACTAGCCCTCGGCAACACTGAACCTCAGCCCCGGAGTCCAGTCTCAGGAATCGAAACCCACCTTCCCCTATTTCGTTATCATAGACTCCAAATGGAAATTGCCTTTATCACCTACAGTTTAAGGAAAGCTTTTAATTATAAAAAAGTAATATAAAGAAAAATAGGTAAGATCACTCACTATTAAACTAAAAGCAAAATTCTTTCAGAACTATGCCTTATTGGCATATTAAAAGCCAGCTTTTGTATTTTTGTCTTTCTCTTTAACTCATCATAAACCTCAAGAATTTCACACATCATGGCTACTTCATGTACATACCTTTGCAAGGATGTACAATGTTCCATTGTCTGGCTAAGTGTGAAGTAGGATGGGCATTTGTGGCTGTGGTGTTCATGTGTGTATAGGACTGTGTGTGTGCACATGTGTTATAAAATGGGATAATGTCTCTGAAGAAATCTTACCTCTCTGTAACCCTTTCCCTTTTAGGACAAGGTCTGGCTTAGCTATGTGACGCAGGCTGACTTGAAACCATCCTGCCTTGGCTCTGTGAGTACGAGGGTCTCAGATAAGTGCAATCACTCTGGATTTTGATATAGTTCTTGATTCGCAGTTTCTAAAAGCTAAACTAAGCTAGTGCATATAAATTTTTCTTTCTAAGTATATCTTTTTTGTTTTTTGTTTTTCCAAGACAGGATTTTTTTGCGTATCTTTGGCTGTCCTGGAACTCACTCTGTACACCAGGCTGGCCCTGAACTCACAGAGCCTCTCCCTCCCAAGTGCTGGGATTAAAGGTGTGCACCACCACAGCCAACCCAAGGACATCTTATTACACACTGTCAACCTGCTTTCTAGGAAAGATGGAGAAACAAAACTACCTGTCCCGGTGGGAGGGGCTGACACTGCAGCTGATCACCCAACATGGGCATCTCCACGGAGGTGGAAAGGAGAATGCTATTATGATGTGCGCTAATCCTCTCAGGTCAGGATGGTTCCCCGTATGGGCCACTGCTTTTCTTGGTTGGTGCACCCATATGCATGCCGTCACCTGCTGCTGAGCCGCCGCACCTGTCTCCCGGCCGACCTGGGCTCCGTCCTTGCATCACGCCTTCTCTGTGTTTGTATTTCTTCTGGTATTTTGTTTAAATTCAGTGTGTCGAAATCTTTATTTTGCTCTGGAATGCCTTCCACCGCCAGCGAAGGTCAGAAAGTCATTCTAAACCTACAGACTGCACTCACTCACATTTATTTCTTGTTTATGGCTTACAGTTTAAAAAGCATTTTGGAATTTATTACAGCCCGTGGTTCAAAGAATGACCCTGACCTTTCCTTCCCCACCAGCGAGCAAACATTCCCACTGTTCCTTAACTCAGTCTGGATCCATAACCCTTTCTTCCTTATGCATTAAATCACACGACGGAGCTTGGATCTGGCTGTCACATCTCATTCTTTAATCTGTTTATTCCTAAGCCAAAGCTCTCATTAAATTGTATTAATAATATATTTTAATTAATAATAAACCAGAACTATTTTGTATTTTGTAAAGTCAGGTATTTTTAGCAATGTTGTCCCCCCCACCCAAAAAAAATCAGTTTTTAAAACTTCTTTTCCTTTTTTTAGTTTTGTGCCTTCTTTGTTGGCATATTTTTTTGTTATGAAAATCCCTGCAGTTTTAAGTTTAGTTGCTGCTGTTGAGTTTCTGAGAGTTTTACTGCCTCCCACTTGGTTTCTTCAGTAGCAGCTGGAAATCCTGACCTGCTGACCTGATGGCAGGAATGGGGTAGAAGAAACAAAAAAGCCACAGTGCACAGGAAGGTGTCCCAACCTGGCAGTGCTCCATGTGGCAGCCAGGGAGCACTCAGGAGCCATCTCTCTACATGACACCATGGAGCCACCACACCTCTCCGTAAGAGACTGCATAGACACCTGGCTTGTACTTTCCTTGATGTTTTTTTTTAAAATATTTATTTATTTATATGTGCACAATATTCTGTCTGTGTGTATGCCTGCAGGCCAGAAGAGGGCACCAGACCCCATTACAGATGGTTGTGAGCCACCATGTGGTTGCTGAGAATTGAACTCAGGACCTTTGGAAGAGCAGGCAATGCTCTTAACCTCTGAGCCATCTCTCCAGCCCCTTTCCTTGATGTTTTAAATGAGATACTAAAATAATTGGCATGTAATAAAAAAAATTAATTAAACATAAGCTTGTGAGAGTTTCTTACCCAGAAGAAGACAGCGCTTGTACACAGGGCGACCCGGATACACTTCCCACAGGCAGTAAACGGGATGCGCTCCTCCTCCTGATGAAGAAGAACAGCTGGTCAAGGGGCAACTCCAATAAAGCTGCTACTGTCTCTGGGTGTGTCAACAGACCTCAGACTTAGCAAACAACAAACAAAGCCCAAGTCTGCAAGCATACCGTTCTCACTCATGGCTATGCAGTTAACAATCTCAAAGACACCAGGCCAAGTGCAGCATCTGTTTGCTTGGTGCTGGGCACCGAACTCGCTTGGCATGTGCTCTCGGCTATCAGATCTGTGGGTTTTAGTAACGCTTTACGTGTTAACGTGGTGCAACCTGAATTTTTGGAGCATTTCCACCTTATAGTTTTCTAAGAGAAGAAGACATGGCACCTCCTACATTACCTCAAACAGCCAGAGTGAGAACCTTGGCTGGCATTCACTCTGGGCCAGGTACTCTCCTGAGTTCTACCCATGAACTCCGTCAATGCTCACTCCATTGAGATGAGGAAACTGAGGCACAGATCCAGGATCACCCAGCCCCTAAGCTCCTCTCCAGCCCAGGGAGGACACACGAGGCAGCAAAGGTGGCATGCGGGATAAGGAAGGTGAGATTCCATGCACAAGTTAGCAAGCTCTATCTCACTGGCGATTTAATTCATCAGTTGGCAGTTTTAAATGACCAGACCATCTCTGCTGTGGCTCTTTGCAGGCTTTGTCATGACTTGAGTATCAGCTTTCATAGTGAACTATCCAACCACAGGCACTGCCCTGTCCTCTCTAGGAAATGACAGTCATTATTCAGAATGGGGGTTCCCTGCATCCCAAGAGACAAATGCTATCTGCTATGCTATTTATAAAATGAAGATGCTCAAGTGTCCCCCCTGCCCCTGCCTTCTAGCACCCACATCCTGAAAATCTGGGCTAATTTAGAAACCTACAATAGGGGACATTCCTCAGACAGGAGTCACTTTTGTTCAAAACTGTCTGTTCCCTCACTGCTGACTAAGGGTAGGCTCTGAATTCCCTGTGTTGACAGAAAATATGGAAGACTCAGAAATCAACTCTTTGGGGGCTTGGGGATGAACAGGCAACACGGAGCATTATTTCTCCTTTCTTTGGAGTAGTAGTTGTAGCAAATACTCTCTCCCAGTGACAAATGCCTTACACAGTGCTGCCCGCAGTAGGATCTCGGTCTGTGTTCTCCTCTTTCAACCCCTTCTGACTTTAGACTAAGAGCCACAGTATTTTTTTGAGCACATCCCAAGCAGGAGGGCCAGTGACTGAGCACCGGAGAGGGACAGCTAGCTCAGGATGCAAACTGACTGCCAGGAAGAAGCTGAGACATCTGTAAATGCCAACATTTCTTTCCTTACACAACCATGCCATTCTCAGTCTCTCTAAAACATATGTGCTCTACCATTATTGCAAGAAGAGAGTGTCTCCACATACACTGTCCTAAGCAGTGCTCAGAACACATCTGGAATACAAGGCACCTCGGAGATGCCATAATGGGCTCAGGCATCTGCACTGTTCAAGTCCCATGACGGCTGGGTGGATTGTGTGGTGAACCACTTCAGAGAAAGCATTACAATGCATTGCCTTGCTGAGAACTGCAGGAGAGCACTGCACTGCATCACTCTACTGAGAATTGTAGGAGAACACTGCACTGCATCACCTAGCTGAGAACAGCAGGGAGAGCGTGCACTGCATCACCTAGTTGAGAACTGCAGGGAGAGCGTGCACTGCATCACCTAGCTGAGAACTGCAGGGAGAGCATGCACTGCATCACGTTGCTGAGAACTGCAGGGAGAGCGTGCACTGCATCACCTAGTTGAGAACTGCAGGGAAAGTGTGCACTGCATCACCTAGTTGAGAACTGCAGGGAGAGCGTGCACTGCATCACCTAACTGAGAACTGCAGGGAGAGCATGCACTGCATCACGTTGCTGAGACTGCAGGGAGAGCATGCACTGCATCACGTTGCTGAGAACTGCAGGGAGAGCGTGCAGTGCATCACCTTACTGAGAACTGCCAGGGGAGCATGCACTGCATCACC